AACACCACAAGATGAGATGAGGGCAGGAATGAGCTACTTTTATGAGACAATCTGGATGGGAGTTCCCAGTTTTCTGCGCAGAGTTGATACTGCTTTGAACAACATTGGCATTAACCAGCGCGTTCCTTATGATGCTCCTCTTATTCAGTTCTCTTCTTGGATGGGTGGTGACCGTGATGGTATATATCTGTGTGTGTGTGTGTGTGTGTATTCTTCCTTACCTCTTATTTAAAAGCACTTTGTGCTCTCCAGTGGAGAGATTTTAAGAACTCTTGGGTTTATTGAGTGAAGTAATGAGCCAGAAAGATTATTTTATTGAAAGAAGAGAGAGTATATACAAAGCATTTTTAATTATGATCTCTCCGTTGAAATAATGTTGATGCAGGTAATCCAAGGGTGACTCCTGAAGTGACCAGGGATGTTTGCCTATTGGCTAGAATGATGGCTGCAAATTTGTATTATTCCCAAATAGAGGATCTTATGTTTGAGGTACTTAATGCCTGTATAGTTTCCTGATCCAACTTGTATCCTTTCTTTCTCAATTATGTTACTCAGTTATCTGAAGAGACAAAGTCACGGTCTATCTCCATTCTCTTTATTCACAAGACTCAAACTATCCCGACTCTTGTTTAAAAAGAAGCAAGCAAGCTTCATATGATTAGCTTAGTCTTTTGAATTTGGTGAAGAAATCTCTGCTTGTTGGTGTTTTTCTGCAGATGTCAATGTGGCGCTGCAACGAGGAATTACGTGTTCGTGCAGATGAAATTCACAGATCTGCCAAGAAGAATGATGTTGCAAAACACTATAAAGGTAAGAACCTCCACACAAGTTTGCAACATAGGCGTATCTGAAAATTTTCAACAGAACATATAATGAAGTAAAGGTCAATTTTTCACTTCACTTTTGTGATATGGGCTTGCATATCTTCAGAGTTCTGGAAGAGAGTTCCCCTAAATGAACCATATCGTGTGATTCTGGGCAACGTAAGGGATAGACTTTACCATACTCGTGAGCGTTCTCGCCATTTGCTAGCTGAAGGTCACTCTGACATTCCTGAGGAATTAACTTACACCACAGTTCAGGAGGTATACTCACACACACACACACACATATATTTCTTCAATATGCAGATGAAGCTTCATTTTAACTTAGCACATGAAGCTTCAATACTAGCATTATGACCTTTATAAATCCTCTCAGAAACCTTTTTATTATATGATCTCTCTGATATAAATACTGACAAAAGTTGAAACTTCTATTTTTTGCAGTTCATGCAACCACTGGAACTCTGTTACAGATCATTATGTGATTGTGGTGATAGGGCTATAGCAGATGGAAGTCTTCTTGATTTCATGAGGCAAATCACGGCCTTTGGACTGTCTATGGTGAGGCTTGATATCAGACAAGAATCTGATCGTCATAGTGATGCTATAGACGCCATTACAAAACACCTCGAAATCGGATCCTACCATGAATGGTCCGAGGAAAAAAGACAAGAATGGCTTCTCTCAGAGTTGAGTGGCAAGCGTCCATTGTTCGGACCAGACCTTCCTCAAACCGAAGAAGTTAAGGTTGTTCTCGACACATTCCATGTCTTAGCAGAACTACCTCCCGGAAGCTTCGGTGCCTACATCATATCGATGGCCACCGCGCCGTCCGACGTCCTCGAGGTGGAGCTTCTGCAGAAAGAATGCCATGTGAAATATCCATTAAGAGTTGTTCCGTTGTTCGAAAGGCTTGCAGATTTAGAAGCTGCTCCGGCAGCGCTAGCTCGTTTGTTCTCGTTAGACTGGTACAGAAACCGAATTAATGGGAAACAAGAAGTTATGATCGGATACTCAGATTCTGGCAAAGATGCCGGAAGGTTCACGGCGGCGTGGCAGTTATACAAGGCTCAAGAAGAACTTATAAAGGTGGCGAAACAGTATGGTATCAAGCTGACTATGTTCCATGGCCGAGGCGGAACCGTCGGGCGAGGCGGCGGGCCGACGCATCTGGCTATATTATCTCAGCCTCCGGACACGATTCATGGGTCGCTTCGGGTGACGGTGCAGGGAGAAGTTATAGAGCAATCGTTCGGAGAACAGAATTTGTGCTTTAGAACGCTTCAGCGTTACACGGCTGCTACTTTAGAACATGGAATGCGTCCTCCTATTTCCCCTAAACCAGAATGGCGAGCTCTGATGGATGAAATGGCCGCCATTGCTACTGAGGAGTACCGTTCTATTGTTTTCAAGGAACCACGTTTTGTTGAGTATTTTCGCCTGGTAAGTGAACCTTATAGGAATATAGTTTTGTTTTATTACAGATTATGGGTTTGTAGGCATTAACCTTTGCAAATCTAACTTTTTATTTAGTGTAATATGATTTTTTGCCCTGAATGTTGCTGTAAAGAAGTCAACAAAATTGGATTTTACTGAAGAAAAGCCCATTTAAAGAGAAGTCCGTTTCAAAAGCTCTAGAATTCGGCTTCTAACCTAATTGGCTTTTTGAAGGAAAGTCCATTTACTCCCAACATTAAATCAAACATGATTTTTGGATCCAACTAACTTTTAAGGATTCAAAAATCAGTTTCGGGTTTCCAAAGGGAATCCCCAGACATACAAGCACTAATGAGTTTCAAGATATAGGGTTTGGGTTTGTGAAATTTGCAGGCTACACCAGAGTTGGAGTATGGGAGGATGAACATAGGAAGCAGACCAGCAAAGAGAAAGCCAAGTGGGGGGATAGAATCACTAAGGGCAATTCCATGGATCTTTGCATGGACGCAGACAAGGTTTCATCTGCCGGTGTGGCTAGGCTTTGGGGAGGCATTTAAGCAAGTGATTTCCAAAGACAATAGGAATCTGAAGATGCTGCAAGACATGTACAATCAATGGCCTTTCTTCAGAGTCACCATTGATTTGGTTGAAATGGTGTTCGCCAAGGGAGACCCTGGCATTGCTGCTCTGTATGATAAGCTTCTTGTGTCTCCCGAGCTCAAACCTTTCGGTGAGCAGCTGAGGGCCAAATATGAAGAAACTAAGAAACTCCTCCTTCAGGTAATTAACATTTGCTTACTCCTTTATTGTGAGGCTTGCCCTAGCTAGCTTTGGAGACAAATTACGTTATTTACTAGTATCACTTACTCCCTTTGATCCTAATACATATAGACACTAGTCGAGAGTTAGATTTAGCCTTAAATATATCCCCCTATAAAACCAAGATAGATCATTTCACAACCTCTTGTTTTGTTTTAATCAAATCCTTATTGTTTGCGATTGTCTATGTAAAATGATCAGAAGACAGCCCAATAAATTCTTTTACTAGGGTTTACAAAAGAAAAGATTCTTTTTTCTTTTTAATTAAATTTAACATATTTATTATTTTCAAACTAATTTATCTAACTTATAAACTAATATATAATCTAATATTACACAGAGATCAGGTCATATCTATTATAATTAGTTTTTTTTTAATTTTTTTAATATATTCAAATTAGTTAAGTAGTTTTTATATTAATAACGGGAGGTGGTATTTATTTTCCAAGCTTTATATAATGTATGGACATGTGGTGGTGCGTACAGGTGGCTGGACACAAGGAAATTCTAGAAGGGGATCCATACTTGAAGCAAAGACTGAAACTGAGAGATTCATACATCACAACACTAAATGTTTGCCAAGCGTACACATTGAAAAGTGTGAGGGATCCAAACTATACAAAGAAAGAGCGTCCTAAGATCTCAAAAGACTCTACAGATCAAGTGAGTAAAGCTGCTGATGAGCTGGTTGCACTCAACCCCACAAGTGAATATGCTCCTGGTTTGGAAGATACCCTCATTATTACCATGAAGGGTATTGCTGCTGGCATGCAAAATACTGGTTAATTAATTAACTTCATCAGCTTTTTTCTCCTTTCCTTCTTTGAAATGGCTACTTTCTTCTTCTTCTTCATCTCTTTCTGATATTTCTGCTGCTGTAGAACTCAGAAGCCACGTTTTTCTCTAAGCATTATTGTGGCCACAAAATGGGGTTGTGCTGCTCATATTTAAATATATAGAAGGGTTTACTATGCACGTTCTTCGGTTTCGGTTGTGGAAAAGGAGAAAGAAAAATGTTTTTTATCGGGTTTCTAATAAAAATATTAAGCCTGCTACTTTGAGCAAAGTACATGTATTGACCCACATGTCTGCGTATTTGCTATACTTCCGGTGCTCATTAATTTAATGATATTATATTATTTCTGAAAATCACTATTTTCTTACTTAATTTGAACTAAATAAATAGGTGGATATCTCATTAATTTGAGGAATGAGTTGGATTATGGACTGGTGACCAACTTAAAGATTGTTTTCTTTTTTTTTTAAAAAAATTAATTTATAAGTCCTTATAATTTGATTTTTATTCTTAATTAGGTTCATGTAATTTCTTTTCTTTTCATAAGGTTTTCAGAATTTTCTCAATTATAAGTACTAGTCCTTATACTAATAATTTATCAATTAGGAATAATGTGGATATGCTAAGTGACGTGTTGCCACAAAATGCAAATAAATGAGAAGATTTAAAAAAAAAAAAAAAGAAATGATGGAGTGACATTTATTTATTATCAATATAAAAAAAAATTATGATATTATAGTTTATCATGATTTTTTTTATATTTATGTGACAAAATTAATTCAAATATTCATTTATTGAAAGTCATGTTGTTAATTACTTACATTGTTTTTCTTATAAATTAACAAGGATATATATGAACTAATATTTATAATTCAAAAAACTATACCAACTTAATAAAATGGGGAAAAAAAAAAGTTCTGCTTTTCTTTCTTTTCTTTTTTTTTTTTTTTTTTGGGTGACAGTTCTGATGTTGCTTTGAAAGGAAGGAAAGTTAAAAAAAGAAAACTGCCTAGCAAAGTTCAAATGCAAGAAAATGGTTTCAGCGTATGACCCCCAATGGTGACTGACTGAATCAGCGACAACGCTAACGAAGAAGAAAGACTTCTGATTCGGCGAAAAGCAAGATGTCCCTTGCACCGAGGCAGAGACGCCCTCAACCTTCCCATCCGTCGCCTTCGTCTTCATCTTCGTACACGAAGCTTGATAAGCCCCAGAAATCGGACGGCGGCGAAGAGGTGGACAAAGGGTTGGGATGGTTCTTACCCTTTTTTGCTCTGGGAATGCTCAGGTACATGAGTGCCTCCTCCAACATTATCCACGACTGCGATGAGGTCTTCAATTACTGGGAACCCCTTCATTATCTGCTTTACAAATCTGGGTTTCAGACCTGGGAATACAGGTACTTTTATGCTGGTCTATAGCGAAGTAAATGGTCAGTCATACTCTAGTTGTATTAGAAACTGGATGGCCATTGTATCATTCTTGAGCATACAGGGAATTGAATTGGCTGGAATATACATCATAGTGACATTTTAATGGACGTAGCTAATTCTCGGAAACAGAGGAATTTAAGGAAAAAAGTTGCTTATTGAGCCCCAATTTGACAGTGCCTATAATTTGCCAATAAAATAAAAAGGCAATTGGATCAAAATAATGTGGGCTGGGTAATAACTTAGTATAGAATCTTGTTAGCTTCAGTCTTCTTTTTACAATCCTATTGACCATTACTTTATAACTCTTATAGTTCACAGTTTGCTCTTCGGTCGTACTTGTACCTTTTACTCCATGAAATAGTGGGGCGACCAGCTTCCTGGATATTTGGCGAGGAAAAGGTAAGATTCAGGCTGAGCTTAATGATTTACTGCTGACCTTGTTCTGCTCATGATTTAAGGGAAAGTACTTTGTACTCCTCCATTATATATGCCTGTTACCGATTTCTTTTTGTATTATAGGTGAGAGTATTCTATGCAGTAAGACTCTTTTTAGGTCTTCTCTCTGTTGCCACGGAAACTGTACTTGTCGTATCTCTTTCAAGAAAATATGGAAAACGACTTGCTTCATATACACTTGCAATGCTCTGCTTAACCAGCGGTTGTTTCTTTGCTAGCACAAGTAAGTGAGGTTTTAGTTACGTTATATCAAACTTCAGTGTCTTCTGTGTCATCATCATGAGTCTGTCTTTGATGATACCACCGCTTCAAGACATGCATTTTTCTTCCGGAACAAAAAATCTGGAAAATGGACAAATCTGGATCTGATTTTGTGTATAGAAGAATCATTATAAGGTTCCAAAGTCACAATGCTGGCTAGATTTGGCTAACATCCATCTTATGTCAATTGTTTGTTGTTTCCAGGTTTCTTGCCAAGCTCATTCTCTATGTACGCTGTCTCTCTTGCATCAGGTTTATTTCTTCTTGATAAACCTGCTGCAGCAGTTGCTGTTTCTGCTGCTGGTGTAATACTTGGCTGGCCATTCTCAATCTTGGCTTTCCTTCCAGTGACAATTTCCTCTTTATTAAGAAAATTCAGACAAGCATTTATTGCTGGGGCTGTGAGCTCAATTATTCTTCTTGTAAGTTAATTCAGTAATTTGATTTCCATCTAATGATGTGTATATTGTTATCTTCATCATTTTGTTTTGTTAAGATATGTATGGTTAACGTGATGCAAGTTTTTCCAGGCATCATCAATACTTATAGACTTCTACTATTATGGAAGATGGACTTCTTCTGTTTTGAACCTGTTGATATATAATGTCGCTGGAGGTGGCGAAAGTCATTTATATGGGACCGAGGGACCATCATATTACCTAAGGAATGGATTTAACAATTTCAACTTTGGTTTTGTTCTTGCTATGCTGTTCTTGGGATTTTTGCCAATTGCAAAGAAGAAATATGCACCAGACCTGTTGATTATAGTATCTCCTATCTATATTTGGCTGGGGTTTATGTCATTGCAGCCACATAAAGAAGAAAGGTTTGGCAAGATTTTGACTTGATGTTGATTGTCTTTACAAATTTATTCACTCTAGCTTCTTTGAGACCTAGAATCCAAATACACAAGCATGCACCTGGTATATTGTATAATGAGATTCAAATATAATCTTTCTGGTTCACTATTTTGGGCTAATATCATTTGGTTTATCTTCTAGTTTTGGTGATCTTTAATATTGCCCTATTCTAATATAGGATTTGGATGTTTTAGTTGTTTCAAAGTTTATGAATTCTTTAGTGAACTCTTATGGATGCTTATAGTGAATGGTGGATATGATTGAGTGTTGGACCGTCCTTAGTTCGTAAAACGTCTAGGCAATTGGAAGTTTTTATATATGCGGCGGCTAAGGGGAGATATATGGTATATGGAAGAACTTGAGCTTAGTAATTCATGGCCATCTCCAAGTTATTGAACTAGATCAAGTGTTTATATATGCGGTGGCTAAGGGAAGATATATGGTATATGGAAGAACTTGAGCTCAGTAATTCATGGGCCTCTCCAAGTTTTTGAACTAGATCTTTAATATTTGACCCTTGTTATTATATTTCAATTGAGCACAAGTGTGAAAAATTTTTCTTTGAAGTCAGAGTGAACTTAGTTTTTCAAAATATCTTTTTCTTATGTGCATAAAGCTGCTAAGGGAAGAAGTTTGGTATATGGAAGATTTTGATCTCAGTATTTAATGGCCACCTCGAATTTATTGATGGAATCTTCATTATTTGAACCTGTTATTTTATTTAAAACTGGTACAAGTCTGAACATTTTTCCTTAAAACTCAGAATGAACTTGGTATGCATTGATCTAAGAAAGTTTATAGGCATCTCCGAGTCACTGAAAACATTATCTTCTGGACCATTAATATCTAAACTTTTATTTTATTTGAAATTGACAGAAGTCTGATTCTTTTTCCAAGTATATAGCATTAATATGTCTGCACAAGATGGTTATTAAGGAAAACTCCTCATGAGTGCTGCTCAGGCACCATTCCGGGCAGCAATCCCTCCCAATTTGGTTAGCCTTGGTTTTGGAATAGTCCTTAGTGGGATGTTTTTGGACCTTTCAGATAAACAATACTGGATATGATTTTCTCATTTGGTTCTGTTCCTCTAGCTTATGCAATCAGTGAGATATAAAGGCAAATGTAGAATTTATACTTGAGTTAACAATGATGGTGGACATTTTTATGTGCAGGTTTCTTTATCCAGTATATACACTTATCTGCGTTGCTGCTTCAGCAGTTATTGAGAGCTTTCCTGATCTCTTCCGTGACAAATATAATCCAGAGAGTAATCTTATTTTAGTTAAGGTGGATTGTCATTTCCTGACCTTTTCCTGAGTGTAACTGACAGCAAAAGTACTCTTGCTAAATCTTCTCGCCATAACATGCAGATAGCCAAAGTTCTGAGGCCAGTCATTCTTAGCCTCATATTATGTTTCTCTCATTCCCGTACATTTTCTCTGATTCATGGTTATTCTGCTCCGATGGAGGTTTACAAGATTTTGGAGCATCATGATGATGCAGGAACGGGTGAGGATCAATCTTTCGGAAAATTTGTTTTATTTGTTTATGCACGCTGGTATGTACAAAAGTAAGTTTTTCAATAGAGTTAATATTAAATTAATATTCTTATTTGTCAGATATAAATTTCAAAAGTTTCCTTTATGCCTTTAGAAGAATATCTAGAAGAGATCATATAAACACTCAGAGACTCTCTGGTCGTCTAATTTAACATGTCTGGAAACTGAACGTGAATGACTTATAAGTTGTGTTAATGAAATGGAGTATTATCACCAGCTTTATTTTTAAAGTATATCTTCATTTTGCAGAATATTATATAACATTTCATTAGCCCATTTCTGGTGCTTGTGGTTGAAAACATGCTTGTCTGCTCAAATCACATTTCCTGTTCCAAAATGCTGTCACTATTTTTCCTTTTAACTTCTAACTTTCCAAAATTTTGCCATTCCCTTCTGGACAAAAGTAGATGGTCCCAATCAGTCAAGGATGGCACTCTAATTTTGGACTGCTTTGGCGATACACCACACTAGTCAAAAGAAATAGACGGAAACCACTTTCAATGGGGAAATATATCAAGTATTTTTGAGTCCCATACATCGGGATCATGTATGATTTGTCTCATTACATGCAGGTTCTGTACTTTGTGTTGGAAGTGAATGGCATCGCTTTCCTTCATCATTTTTCGTCCCTGAATTTGTGGGACAAGTTCGGTGGATTGATGATGGGTTCAGAGGTCTCCTTCCTTTCCCATTTAATTCTACCCTAGGTGGGACTGCAGCAGCACCGCCATATTTTAACAGTAAGAACGTTGCGTCCAACGAACAATATGTACGTGCACTTTAACTGTTTATATGTCATTTGTACCTTCATCCTCATTTATGAGAAGGAACCTAACTTGCATTTACGCAACAGCTTCACAACATCGATGTCTGTACTTTTCTCGTCGAGTTGCAGCTAAAGAGACCATACCTGACTCTCGGAAGCGACTTGTCAAAGTGGGAGGTAAAAGCCATTATTCAAGTTTTTCATATCTTTCAAAGCTGTTTTCTTTCCCTTTGCATTTTAATTATGTGGGTATCATATCTGTATGCGTTTCAGCCTATTGCTGCATTGCCATATCTGGACCGCGAGCTTTCACCAGCCAAGTATAGATCCTTCTTTATCCCATACCTGTGGCAAGACAGGAATGTTTTTGGCATGTATAAGCTACTCAGAAGAATACCCAAATGATCTGGGGACTGAATATACCTTGAAATTTGGTGGATTACAGTTTTGAATTCGTTTTTTGTAGAATTATTGGCTGTAACTATTCAAACATAAGTAGACGAAAATGGATAGCACAGTACTAGAAAAACTACTTTTTTTTGAGACAGCTAGCCTTTGGGACTTGCCTGATATGTTAACAAAAACTTTAGTTACAATCTTTGCCTCGATTCCTAACATATCCAGTTGCTAATATATGCACTTGATTTTAGTTTTGGCTTAATATCATTGTTAGTCCTTATAATTTGATTGAATTTTTATTTTGATTCCTGTAATTTCAAATAATTGGTTTTAATCCTTATAGTTTTATTTACTTTTTTTTGTTTGAGTTTAATGAATGGTTTCTATACTTTTAATGAGCTTTGATTTTAGTCGGTACACTTAAACAAGTCTTTATGAAATCATGTGAACAAAATCCGATAATTTGAAACTATAGGGATTAAAATCAAAACTGAATCACATTGTGAGGGCCAATAATGATAGTAACTTTTTTAGTTTTTAGTTTTTAACATTTTGAAAAGGCAAAAGCTTCTGGTTTAGAGGGCTTAGCATAACTCTTTGAACACGAACCTAGCTGGTTTGCGCTCCAATACTTCTACAACATTTAATCACATTTTCTTTTTATAAAAATGTTTAGTCACTATATTATGACTCTTTTATTAGTTAATTAAGTGATGAAATATTGAAATGGTAATTGGGGAAGATATAGAGATTATTTAGTACTAAGTAATTAAGTAATAATAATGATAAAATGAATGTCCAGGTGGAGTGGGATGGAATTGGTTGGGTTAGGGTGTCTATCCTTTTGATTTGATTAAAATAGAATAATGATGATGAAAATTGCATATCATAAAACCCATTTTCTTTTTGATAATTATATATTTAAAAATATTTTCCATTATATATTATCCAAACAATGTTCAGTTTATTAAACTAATTATTGAAGAAATGCATCCCAACATAAATCTAACTTTTACCTAGGCTTTTGACAAATGAATTCTTCTCAAACTGAAAACCAAACATACAAGAGAAAAATATTCAAATAATACTTTTAAGTAAGAATTAACCCGTTACTTTTTGTTGCTATACGAGGACAGTTCTAACTCGTTCATTTATATTTTATATATATATATATATATATATATATATTAAATTGCCATAAGAGCTGATAATTCTCTGAGTATTTTTGTGCATATCCTGGATGACCCTAAAAGCATTAATAATTAACATTAATTTTATGAAGTCTGTAAGAAATCCTTCTCTTTCACCAAATAATTATAATGATAATGACAGGGTGTCCAAAAGTGCTTTTAAACTTTTCCTTTTTTTCTTTTGCTCTTTTTGAAAGAATCTTGAGAACCAATCCAAGCTTAATCATAATTAAAGTATATATAATACAATGCACCTTAACATATAAAGTCTGAAGAAATTATTTTGCCAAAATGATGGCTCCTCTAAAGAAATCATGACATTTTATGTGACCGATAGCGTCACAAGCATGGCAGTCCAAGTCTAAGAAAATTATCCCTTTGGTTAAAATAGGAAAGAAACAAAATGTCATTATGTATATATGCGGATGGTTTGTTACGAGGGGGAAATTTTGGTTAAATTGCATCCAAAAAACATTATGCCTATTCAAATAATTGAGGGAGTTGAATTATACCACCTCTGGTTCTTAATATAAAATCTCGTTTGATTTTTATTTTGGTCATAGATATAAGATCTCAATCCAATTTGTCTCTCATATTTATGTATTTTTTTCCAAAATAGTCCTTCTAATAATGATATTTTTAGGCAACATATTTAATTAGCAAGGATATTTCAGGAAAAACAACACCTATTTATTACAAATAACTAACTTAACTTGTTTTCTTAATCTCTTCAAATTAGTCAATTAGCTCTTATAATTAAGACCGGAGGTAGTGTATGTCTAGCCAACAAGCCATCATTGGATTGAATGGAAAGATTACTATTTATGTAAAATAAGGTTGATAGATTAAACTCTGCGCATAAAAAAATCACCATAGACAATTATTCTGAATTAGGTTTAATGATACTTTTTTTTTTGGGGTAAATACCATCTTCAGTTTTTGAAATTTAACCTCATTTTAGTTTTAGTCCTCAAAATTTGAAATCAATGGTTTTGGACACTAACATTTAATTTTATTTCGGTTTTGATTCCTAAAATTTGAAACAAGTTGTTTTGGTATCTGAAATTTAACCTCATTTTAGTTTTGGTTCCTGTTTAGGGACCAAAAATCTTAAGTGGAATCAAAATTGAAATCAAATCATATGAGTGGCCTCAAGTAGCCAAACAGTCACAACATTACCCGTTCCATGATTAAGAGGCCAAAGTGCCATATTTCACAGATACGAGCTTTCTAGGCCAAAGGCTCATAAGAACTAAGAACCCAGAGAAGAACAAATTTTTATGACAGAGTCCTTGAGGGGGGAAAAAAAAAAACAGAGCAAAATTTTTGCTTCAAGTGAAAGATATCATGCCACGGAGAGAGTTCCTGAAGGAGAGGAGCCGATTTGCTCAGGGACAAGGATAAGCTTGTTGACTATGCTGAAGAATGGACAAGGGATAACTAACAGATTTTCTCAATCAGATTAAATAAAATAAATTATGCCAAAACAATTTGATTTAATCGTATTTAAGTATTTGTTACCAAAAAAAATTCCAATTGATTTTGCATTAAAAAGTGGGACTTAATCTTTTTTTTTATTTTTATGAGAAGCTTTTTCCCCAAGAGCCTGCGGTTGAGTTTGCAAAACACACCTCTTGTGAGCGGGAAGCTGTGGATTCAATGAGGTGCGGCTGTCTATATCTCGTATTAATCTTGTTCTTAATTACTACTACCTCTGATTTTAATTATAAGGTCTCGTTTGTATCGGAGATAATATAAGTTATTTGTAAAAAAAATATTTTTAACCTTAAATATAAATCATTTGTAAAGTATTCAATGATTATTTTTTTAATTTTATTCTTATTTAATTTTCATTGAAAACTAAGAAACTGAACATAGAAGTAAAAATAATTTGTAAATGTAGATAGAAAAATTTAATAAGGAACTCTTTCCGGTTCAAAATATAAGCTAAACTTTGTTGGAGGATCTCATTTTTTTTAATAAGATAACATTTACTTTTTTTTAAGTATTTAATGAGTTTTTTTTTTCAATTTTATCCCTATATATTTACTTTCCTCTTTGATTTATTTATTACATCTTTTACTTATTCTCTTCATTAATAAAGTATATTTAAGACAAAAAAATATGTTTTGCATATTTATTGTTTTAAACTAATTTTGACTAGTTTCTTGATAAGAGTGATGAATAAAGTTTAGTTTATATTTTAAAACGGATGGAGTATAATTTAACGAATTTATTTTTATTTTAATTTTTAATTTTTAATTTAATACCCTGGCAGTTTCGCAACTGATTCCGCACGTTTTTCGCCTGCTTATAAATTCTAAAATGGTGCCTCCTGCTCCTCTCTCACTTCCCCTCCCACTACGCTCACTGGAGAGAGAGCTAAAGAGTTCGGTTCGCATCAGCCATGGCTTCCTCCTCCAAGGACCGTGAGAACTTATTCTTCATTGCCAAGTTGGCGAGCAAACTGAGCGATATGACGGTCTGTCTCCATCTCCTTCTTCGCATGTTAGATTTCCATTCGTGTCGTTCATTCCATTTTTGAATTGAATTTTTGGTTGCTAATGTATCTTCTCGCTTAATATTTCTCTATCGAGTGAAGTTTTCTGTTATAAAGGTTTCTCCTTTGGTGATATATTATTTAGCTTCTTTCTTTTTTTTTCCCCCTATCTCTTGTATGCCTACATATACTAATGCGAATTAGTTTTACCGAAGTAACGAGGGGAAAACATGTTTTATCCCCCGGATTAAATCACGTCATGTTCTCTGAAAAAATATTCGAAAACGGTCTTATTCAACTCGAAGGTGTTTTATGCTATTTTCTAGGAACACAAGGTATTTTATTAATTTTTACGTTTAAATGTTTTGTATTAACGTTTTAACTGGGCCTGAGCAAGGGATTAAAAATTACCAGTAAAAAAAGATTCCCCCGTCTTGGGAAAGAACAACTGAAGTGGTTTAATCAGTTGGGGGGGGGGGTCCTAAATCTTATAACCGAAGATTTGGTTACTGAATCCATGTAGCCATCCCACTTAGCGGGATAAGAATTGTTGTTGTTGGATTTTTATCTGACACTAAGTTTAGTAACTGTTAAACTAGAATCTACCCTCCTATTTCTGGTTTCTGATTTCTATATTAGCTATTTAGATTGACGTGGTAGCTGTCCTTTCACAGGTTAGATTTTATAATATATATAAATCAAACTTATTTCTACTTCCTTTCTTCTAGTTATGTTTGCACAAAAGATCACTTCAGAAGCTGGTCTTCTGTGATATAACTAATCTTACAAGTTACAATTTCTTGAAGCATGTGGTGGATTCCGGTGCTCCCAACCTTGATGAGCATCGCTCCACAGTGCTGCAAGTTCTGCAACCAAGTGTCGAGAGAGAAGCTTCAGAATATCATCTAAGTTTGGAACAGCGTGATACAATTAGTTGATGGTGCCCCACCCTATTAGATGAATCAAGTATCATGGACATTAACTTTTCAAAACTTTCGCAACCTTTTGAAGATGTGCATTGCAGAGAGACAGCTTTCAATCGGCAAGTCTCTCCATGCCCAATACATCAAGTCCCTCATTCCATCTTCAACATATATATCCAACCATTTCATTCTCCTTTACTCCAAATGTGGTAAACTCTGCTCTGCTCGGCATGTTTTTGATTGCACCCATTACCCCAATGTTTTCTCTTTCAATGCTATTATCTCAGCATATGCCAAAGAATCCTATGTTCCTATTGCCCACCAGTTGTTTGATCAAAACCCCCAGCCTGATCTTGTATCTTATAACACTCTTATTTCTGCTTATGCCAATCGTGGCGACACAGAGCCTGCACTTCGCTTGTTTGATGGTATGCGACACATGGGACACGACTTGGATGGATTCACCCTCTCTGCTGTCATCACGGCTTCTAGCAATGACGTTCATTTGATTAAGCAGTTGCATTCTTTTGCAATATTGAGCGGCCTTGATTCTTATGCTTCTGTCAACAATGTGCTTGTCACATATTATAGTAAGAATGGATTTTTAGATGATGCAAAGCGGTTGTTTTATGGAATGGGTGAAATCAGAGATGAGGTGTCTTGGAATTCAATGATTGTGGCATTTGGGCAGCACCGGGAAGGGTACAATGCACTGGCTCTGTTTCAGGATATGATTCACCTAGGATTGAATGCTGACATGTTCACTTTGGCAAGTGTTTTGACTGCCTTTACATGTTTGGAGGATTCATTAGGAGGGCGCCAGTTTCATGCCAAGTTAATTAAGAGTGGGTTTAACGAGAATGCTCATGTTGGGAGTGGACTAATTGATTTCTACTCCAAGTGCGGGGGATGCATGTCAGATTGCAGGAAAGTTTTTGAAGAAATTCTTGCTCCAGATTTAGTTCTCTGGAACACAATGATTTCTGGATTTTCCCTGAATGAGAACTTGTCTGAAGATGCTCTTGCTTGCTTCCGGCAGATGCAGCGTATTGGTTTTCGCCCAGATGACTGCAGTCTTGTCTGTGCAATTAGTGCATGCTCTAGTTTATCATGTCCCTCTCATGGAAAACAGATTCACGCTTTGTCAATAAAATCTGACATCCCTACTAATCGTATTTCAGTAAATAATGCTCTTGTTGCAATGTACTCTAAATGTGGGAATCTTCAAGACGCAAGAAGGTTATTTGATAGGATGCCAGAACATAATGCAGTATCTGTAAATTCAATGATAGCAGGTTATGCACAACACGGTGTCGAGGTAGAATCACTGCATCTTTTTGAATTGATGCTGCAAAAGAATATTGCCCCTACTAACATAACCTTCATATCCATTCTTTCTGCATGTGCGCACACTGGAAAAGTTGAGGAAGGTAAAAAATATTTTAATATGATGAAGGAAAAGTTTGGGATTGAACCAGAAGCAGAGCATTTTTCCTGCATGATAGATCTTCTAGGTCGAGCTGGAAAACTAACTGAAGCTGAGAGGATTATGGACACAATGCCTTTTAATCCTGGTTCCGTTGAATGGGGTACTTTACTAGGTGCCTGTAGAAAGCATGGAAACATGGAATTAGCAGTAAAAGCAGCCAATCAATTCCTCCAGCTGGACCCTAGTAATGCTACCCCATATGTCATGCTTTCAAATATGTATGCTAGTGCAGGCAGATGGGAAGAGGCTGCAAGTATTAAAAGGTTGATGCGGGATAGAGGTGTGAAAAAGAAACCAGGCTGTAGTTGGATTGAGCTGGATAAGAGGGTGCATGTGTTTGTGGCTGAAGACACCTCACATCCAAAGATAAGGGAGATTCATGATTATTTGGCTGAGATATTAAAGAAGATAAAGAGAGCAGGCTATGTACCAGAGGTGAGATGGGCATTGGTGAAAGATGAAGAGAATGGGGTAGAAGAGAAAGAAAGAAGGTTGATGTATCACAGCGAGAAGCTGGCAGTCGCATTTGGGCTAATTGCAACCAGAGAAGGGACTCCAATACTTGTTGTGAAGAATTTGAGAATTTGTGGTGATTGCCACAACGCCATCAAATTTATTTCTGCTGTTACCCATAGAGAAATCACTGTTAGAGATGCTTACAGGTTTCATTGCTTTACAGAAGGACGGTGTTCTTGTGGGGATTATTGGTGATAACTGAAAATGCTTTTCTTTTCCTTTTTACCGCCAGAACAAAGAATGCTACCTCAGAGTGAACAGAAGCACTTGGCTGTATGCTAAACCCCAATATGACAGACTCTACCTTACATCAGAACTGCTTTGGAAATATGTATTAGATGTTAAACAGAATTCAAGTGGATGCACAGCCTCCCACTAAAACTGTTGGTTGTCTTGTCAAAATGGAAGATGCATCCCAATCTTGACTGCAAGTCTTGTGGAAACTGGGCTTAACAATCCCATGACTTTAGAAAAAGTGCAAGAGATCAAACCAAGCATGATTGACTTGTTTAATGCTAATATGGTATCAATCTATCTTTGAGAGAAAACAATAAATTAGCCTCCTCCTGTGCACAAGTTCACATTTCATCAGTCCTTATTATCAAAATGACATTGTTCATCCTTGTTCGTTAATTGAATATTTCATTAACATGGATAAAGTCGCAATATTTTCTTTTCAACTAATCTGTTTCTAAAATGCCTATTGCCAAACTTTATGGCACAGAAACTTAAAACAGTCTTACAACTAATGCTGGGAAAGGAAAAATGAAATGGTTTAATCACTGTGAGTTTCTAGTGGTGAATACTGTAAAGGCTCATGGGATTGAATTAAATATGCTTTTGCTTTTCTTCTTGATTGAAAACTGTTTGATGCTGAAGTGATCTAGGTAAGTTGGTGTGTGCAGAAGTTGTTGATACCATGAAAAAAGTGGCCAAGCTGGACGTTGAGTTGAGTGTGGAAGAGAGAAATTTATTCTCTGTTGGGTACAAAAATGTAGTTGGAGCCAGGAGGACATCATGGAGAATCTTGTCATCGTTAGTGCAGAGTGAGGAGTCAAAAGGGAATGAGCCGAGTGCAAAGCTTATCAGGGATTACATGCACAAAGTGGAGTCAGAGATTTCCAACATTTGCGGTGACATTATGATAATACTAGATGAGCATCTTATCCCATCCACTAATGTTGCGGAGTCATCTGTGTTCTACTATAAGATGTATGCTTTGTTTCTGATGCTGTTGCCTTTGAGTTCTTAATTACAATACATTGTATCATTGATCTTGACATTTGAATTTTGTGCAGGAAAGGAGATTATCACCGGTATTTGGCAGAGTTCAAAAATGGCGATGAGAAGAAAGATGCAGCAGATCAGTCACTACAGGCATATCAGGTACTCAGCCTTTAAATTTTTTGCATTATTTTAAGATATCTTCTTCAATATAACAAGGATCACCTCTATGTAAAATGTGTGTGCTCTGCTATGTTGTAAATGGCTCTTCCTCTCTGCCACTACCATGCCCAGTATGAATTGCTTTTGTTAGCGCAAAGTTTAGATGATGTTTATTAGTTGAGACCAGTGAAAGGTCACCCTTCTTGACTCTACAGTACTCAGTGAAGGATGGTTTTGCTTTCACTTAAGCATTTTTTTCGTGAACATCTTCGTGCTGTGTATTTTAGTAAGATCTGTTGATCAACAATCTCATTATTGCGCTGTCATTTCCAGTTATTTTGAACCTTTCAGTTTTTTGCTTTTTTTTTTTTTTTTTTTTTTAATTTATAGTCTTTGCAGCTTGATGTTTTCATAGGATTTGTGTACACCCATTTGCTCAACTCTTGTTTTTTTTTTTTTTTTTGGGTGATACATGAGTGAACTAGTCACTAGTTATCTAAGCCTCTAGGCACCCCAATTTCTTCCAAATCCTCCTGCAGTAGACGATGAATTTTGCTTGGCGGTGAACGCCACACTCTCCATTGTTGAGGTTGGGACAAACTCATTTTGGCCATCATGTCTGCACACCAATTACCTTCACGATAGGTATGTTCGAACTCCAGTTGCCATTCTCTGAGCATTAGTTCCTGCACTAGGCTTGTTAATCTCCTGCCCCCTTCTATTTCTTTCTTATCTCTGATCTGGTTAATGATTTCTTTTGCATCCGACTCAACTCGGATTTTTCAGTACGCCAAATCCCAACAGAGTTTCAGCCCCTCTATAATACCCCACACTTCTGCCATTGCTAAGCTCTAATAAGACTAAACAGATGATAAATGGTTCAACTCTATAATACCCCACACTTCTCCATTTTTTCCTGTTATGTTTATGAGCACTTTGTTGGGTTTATGAGTTCCCACTGATATTTTTTCTCCGTCCAGCAACATCATTCATTAGATCCTCGACAATCATTCCCTTCCATGCCATGACCAGGTTTTTTTAATTTAAAAAAAAAAAAAAGTTGACCGATTAATATGACATATCTGGGGATTATGTATTGATGAAGATTTTGTAATTTGTCCCCCCCCCCTCCTGCACAGATAGCATGAATTTAAGGAATCTTTTCTCCTTCAGGAACGTAGACTTTTTAGTTTCGTCATCTATTTTTTTATTACTTACCTGGTTTCATTCTCATTTATATGACCTTACGATTTATAAGTTTGCTGACTCCTGTAGCTTGGCTACATCACAAGTTTCTGTCCCTGGTCTCATGTATCTTTCATTGTTGTATCCTAGTTGTGACTTTAGCATGTTCAGCCTGAATAATTTGGGGTAGAGGTGCCAAATTTCATTGCTAGGGCCCTTCTCTATGTTCACTCAAAATGACTTTCTTGGAGTACAGTGGGGTAATCTGTAAAGCTCCATTGTCATATTTTTTATCAATGGATACTAAGTATCTTCATACTTCTTGAACAAATTCAGTGAAGTTGCATCCTTTTTTTCCTCCCTACAGTTTCACCCCTTTAGGTGCAATGACGGAGGATATATGTCAATAACTCTATTTTGGGACTGGACCTCATGATCAGGATGATGGGCCTTGGTCAATGTTTAATACTTTTGTGTCCTTATTCGTGAACACTTGTTCATGTTGAGGTATACTTGCCTTATGCTCAAAATTCATGATGTATCTTCTCTGTGAATGCTATTTCTTTTCCTGATTTTATGTGTCCAAACTTACTTTTATGATTATGATCAAGGTAAACAGTATGGGGCTTGAATTTTACATCAAATTTGTGTAGCCCCCCCCCCTTTAATGCTCTCTCACCATGGTCTTACAAGCTATTTTTATTGTTGGATAATATTTCTCACAAATTCAAGCTCTAGACGCTACAATTTTAGATCTGTTTCCCCTGCAGATGGCGACTAGTGTTGCCGAGGCCGAGTTATCTGCTACACATCCCATTCGATTGGGTCTAGCTCTAAATTTCTCAGTGTTTTATTATGAGATAATGAATTCACCTGAAAGGTATGCAGAAATACTTGTTTGAATTTATAAGCATAAAGGATTAGGAAATTCCTTTTCCTCATGTTACTTGGTTTTCAGGGCTTGCAATCTTGCAAGACGAACCTTTGATGATGCTTGTGTAGAGTTGGACGCCCATGATGAGGAATTGTACAAGGACAGTAGAATGATTTTGCACCTATTAAGAGAGAACTGTGATTTGTGGAATTCTGATACGCAAGAAGGTGGTGGTACATCTCCATTCTTTTGTCATGCAATCTACATTTTTATGAAGCATAATTTTTATGATTCACATTATTTTTTATAGAAAAAGAATTATAATCGACTAGAAAGAGAAAACAGCACAAAAACATAGGACAAATAACTCTCTTAAATGCATGACCATGAGACTAAAGAATCTAGTTGAAGAGATTCTCAAACTTCAAGGTAAAAGGTAAAAACTTTAAGATAATGAAGGTTTCAACCAAATTACCAAATTGGAAAGCAGCCATTAATAGGGGTGTCTGTCTATATATATATGAAAAGCTACACTACATGTACATTATTAACAATGTGACCCATGAAATTGTGCTTACATCTAGTTGGGGAAAAGAAGGATTACATTCCTGAGGCATGAATTCGAGGAATTGCATTTGTTGCACCAATTTTAGAGGTTATAGCCTGTAATATTGAAAGTACAGTCTGAAAAATTTGTGTGTTGGTGGTTATTGTTACGCCTGTTTGTGACACAGGTGGCCATAAGGTGGAAAGTTAGTGGCGGTGCCGAGCAAGATTAGGTGGGGCATTTTTTGTTTCATAATTATATGATAATGATAAGTTAACTGACAAATGAATTTCTCTTACACTGATGTATTTTTCTTTAATGCAGTGAAAGAGACCTCTATGTGGCTGGTGCACCTTGTCGACTTTAGTTTGTTTTTAGCCTTAATAAGAGCATTGGATTGGAATCCTTTTCATTTATTTTTTTGCCCTTTGTTGTCATTTTCTTTTCTTTCTTGTTTGTTTACAAGCCATTTCTTAAATTGCTTCTGGAACGCAGTAACAACAGATTGTTATACATGATTCTGTCTCTTCTGTTTTTTTACAATTAACTTGAGAAGTTTGCCTGAACCTATGAAGCATATATGTCCTACGCAAATTAAATTTGTAGGAATTTAAGTCTACGATTTTAGCTTAAGCTAATGAAAAAAGTTGTTATGAGTGAAAGGGGGAGGAAAGTGAAAAAATAATTTGATGTATGATTTTTATTCTGTTTAAAAAATTATATAGTATACCATTTTTAATCCTAAATATAAGATCTAGTTTATAATGCTATTTGAACTACAAATTGATTCTTATATTTAGTACTACTTCCGGTTTTTAATATAAAAGCTAGTGTGATATTTAATTTAGTTCTAAATATAAGAATTTAATCTATTTTGTCTCTTATCTTTATTAATTTTTTCTAGAGTAATTTCTATAATAGTTGCATATGTTAAAGATTTTAGTAGTTTTAGCTAATACACATGATTAGCGATAGTATTTTAGAGAAGATAATACTTATTTGTCACAAATTAAATTAATTAATTTTATTAAATTATTTAAATTAGTTAATTAATTCTTATAGTGAGAAACGATAGTAATTCAAACTACAAGATTTTTTGTCCATTATATCTACATGAAACTTTATTAAGTGACATTCTACATTTTTGAAAATTGGCATTTTGAAAAATGACATTAAATAAAAGTAAAATAGAAAAGTAATGAAATTTCAATGTAGAGTGAATAAATTTGAAGTTTTTTTTAATTTTATGAGACATGTTGAAAGTGATTCATAAATAAAATAAGAAAAATAATACTATTTCACATATTATATAAGAGTAAAATTGAAAAGTTATGAAAATTTAATCCAAAGTTAATAAAGTTTAAGATTTTTTTTATATTTTTATAAAACATGTTAAAAGTGATTTATAAATAACACAAAAAAAATAACACTATTTTAAGGGGAAAATTTCAAAAACATGACTGTTGAATTTCAAATTTTGAAATTAGGAATTACTTTAAAAATGCGTTGTCATTTGTTTTTTGAGTGTAGTTATTTTCTTTACAAGTGTAGTAATTAATACTAATTTAAAATTTTAAAATTTAATAATATTTTTTGGGATTTTTTCTATTTAAATGGCAATTATTTCACAATTTCTGTTTGAGTGAGAAATAAGACAAATTAAGTGTCCGCTTTAAAGAGGAAGATAATGCCCACAAATACAATTCAAATTAAATGATCTACAGTACTTTTCACAGTACTCGTTGACCAGGTTTTGTTTTTTCTTTTTACCAGCATTGACCAGGTTTGCTAAGGCAGGCATCCTGAAACTTTCCTATGGAGAAACCATTGTAAACTGCTTGGGAAAAATCAAAGTCAAGGCGGGAATTTAAAGTGGAGGGGCCAATCAGTCTCTATATATTGCCTTGTGAGATCAAACAACATTTTGCTAACCAAAATTCAGAACAACATACCATGTTCAAAAGTCCAACAACTTAGAACAACACGCCATTATTAGTATTTGAATTTTTTGTAGTCTTTATTGAGTTCTAGTTATAATCTTTGTGGAACAAGGTTTCCTTGACATCTCAAAATATGACTAGAGTACCTGTCTCATGTTACTATATGTTTAATTAGAGAGACAGACACTAATGATCTAAGATTATAATTAGAGTCAGTTGACACCTTTCATTTACAGAACAACATTTAAACGATAAAACACAATTACTACTTGGTTATATGAAAGTAAAGCCTGTTCCTTGGATTTTACATAACATATGATGAATTTACCTAGTTAGTTTAATTATAAGAAAAATAAACGAATTTCTTACTAATAATCTTTTTATATAACATAACACCAGACCAACACACATCGAGATCATCTAAAGCTTTTTGTTGTAGATTGAAAGGAAATAATAGATGCATAAAAGGAAATTTGACTACTTCCTTGTGTAAAAATCTAACAGAAAAAAAATAGATGATTTGTTTGATTTGCAGCTGTATTGTCCCTTCTACACAGTTAATAGAATTTAATTAGAAAACAAATACTTCCAAATTAAGGCAAGTAAGTGCTCTCATTTGAGGGAAGATTAGCTGTAGATCAAACAAAATGTGTGAAAGAAAATTGATCAAATACAAATCAGTCTTTATCTCCTCCAAGATAGCTAATCCTATATTTAAGGCTGAAGAATCAAACCTCCTCTATTTAAGGCTAAGAAGGAGGCAAATGTATTAGCTGCAAAGGGCAGAAACATTTCAACCCTAAACAACAAAAATGGGAAAGCCATCTTCTTTGGTTACTCTCATTGTTTCTGCCCTTTGCTTCTCGGCTCTTCTAGGCTTTGCTCATGGCGACAATATCACTTACAACATTCAAGGAAGGATTTATTGCGACCCATGTCGCTTTCAACAAGAGACTAGGTCTAGCCTTCCCTTAAAAGGTAATGTTCTAAATGATAATTTTCAATGTACGTATTTATAAATAATATTATCTCTGGTCTTTAATATAAGAACTCGTTTGACTTCTATTTTAATCTTAGATATAAGACCTCAAGCTACTTTGTCTTTTATATTTATCCATCTTTTTAAGGTAGTTTTTGTAATAATAATAAATCTAGTTAATACGTTTGATTAACAAAGATATTTTAGAAAAAAAAACACTTATTTATTACAAATAACTAACCTGACTTATTTTTCTAATCTACTCAAATTAGTCAACTAGCTTTTATATTAAAGACCGGAGATAGTATGGTTTATTTCTCAAACTCCTATCCATATGACAAAGGAGGAACCTGCCTGACATTTTATGCAGATGTTAAAGTGATTTTGCAATGCAAAACGTCAGAAGAAGGCAATGTGACATACACAAACACTGGAATAACAGATCAAAATGGCGTATACAATATACCAATGGAAGGCACTCATGAGAATGATTATTGTGAGATATTGACTGATCAGACTACTCACACAAGTTGCACTGAGACTGTGGCTACTAAGGGCGATAGAGTTACACTAACGATGAACTCAAATCTCTCATCTTTCTCAACTCGTTTCGCCAGACCTTTGGGATTCATGTCCAAAGAAATTGATCCTCGTTGTGTCCTCATGGTTAAGGAATATGATATATTCAAAGGTTGATGTTTGAGTTTGGAGAGGTTATTACCAAATTGGAACATGAGCTAATCATTTGTTTTGCCAATGTAATTGCCATTTGTCCATGAGTTTGCCATATTTAATCAATGGTTGTCACCATGAGCCACTCTTGCTTATAATATAGCTGGATTGTTTTTTCTTTTTGCTATATTTAATTTTTAAAAACTAACGTCTTTAATTATTTGTGTTTCACTAATTAACAAGAAAATTTTTTAGAACAATAATTACTTGTTCTCTAAAAAAATACTCCCTGGTCCTATTTATAGAGCAAAAAGAGCAGATATTTTTGGTCTTATTTATAGGATGTCGAAAAAATTTTTGTATGGATGTACAATTTTATCCATAATTTATTATGTTGACTTTGCTTACATGAAGTATAATATATATTAGATAGAGATAAAGTTGGAAAGTTATTGAATTTTAAATGGGAGTTAATAAAGTTTAAGGTTTTCTTAGTCTATGTGAAAACATGTTAGAAGTGACTTATAAATAAAACCAGAATAATAATAATGTATATGACTATAAATATCTGGATTCAAAAGAAAAATATTCACATTCACAATACCAAAAAATGTTGATCATGCACATCAGTAATTTTAACCATATCAATTTGCTTTCCACAATTTCTGCTTTTATATTCATTTACTTTACAATTTATAATTGATTTTCTGATATCCACATCCTTTTTTTTTTCCTGTTGATTATTCATGAGAATTGGGAATTCTGCACTACACTTTATTTTAACTAGTTTTGAGTTTTAATTAACTCTCTGTAACTAACATCAAAAGGCAGTGCAATTATTCACCCAAGAAAAAGGCAACGCAACTAAATTCTTCAGTCTTATAGTCTTGATAATACTGGCATATACATTACCCCAACAAGGAAACAAGACCACATCTTATTTCACTACGTGGGAATGACTGGATGTGCATATAAAATTGACCTGCTTACGTGGATGCAAGTGACGCCACATATTTGGCCCAAAAAAATAACACTGATATCATAGTTTATGATCACTTTGTTTACTCTTTTTTGATATACTTTTCTCAGTTGTAAATAGTAATTAATATAAGCCAATTAATTTGATCTCATATTCAATGAATCTATGCAAATTAATTGTAATATTATCAACTTTTGTTGTCACGGGAACGGAAGTAAATCAAAATGATTTGGTAGCGTTATTTTCAAAAGGAAAAACTGAAGAATAGCATTGATTCAATTATAATCAGAAGTCCAAATTATTTTTTTTATTTTAAACTATTTTGAAAAAATTATTGATTTATAAATTTATAAGATTAAAATTAATCAAAGATCTTTCACCTCTTTATGATTAATCAGCATAATATAAATTATACTCCTCCGATCGTTAATATAAGACCCATCTAACTAATGTGATTAGATTAAAATAGTTAGGTAAGTTAGTTAATTATAAGAAAAGTGACACATTTTTCTTAAAACATCATAATCATCTTTTTTAATACCCCATCTCCCTCTTCTACTGGATTATGGTTGAAGGAGTATCTATAGAGGTAATTTAGAGAAAATTAATAAATATGAGAAATGAGTCTTATATTTAGGACCAAAATCAACTTAAGAATTGGATCTTATATTAAAGACCAGAGGAGTATTTATCATACTTTCAGTTCCATTTAGTCATATTATTTATAGCAAGAAAAATAACACTGAAATAGACATATTCCTCTGGTCCTATTTATAGGGTAAAGAGAGAAAGTTTTTTTCGGTCCTATTTATAAGTCATGTTATTAAGTTTTTAGTATGAATGTACTATTTTGTCTTTTATTTATTATAGTATAGGTAGTTATCTTTTTTGAAAGGTGTATATATTAAATATGGGTAAAGTTAAAAAATTGTTATATTTTAATGGAGAGTTAATGTGTTTTATGGTTTTTTTTTGTCTATTAAAATATACTGAAAATGCCTTATAAATAAAACTAGGTGAGTAAGACTTATTAAAGATATTTGAAGATTTCCAAAATTAAAGTTGCTGTTGAAAATATGAAAGTTATTAATTGCACTTTCCACAATTATAACTATGCTTATCAATATTATTATTCATAATTGGAAAAGAATTATAAATAAAAAAAACGTTTTTGTAAATTTTGTCTAATTGTTTGTAAACTTTAAATTTTTTTTATTTTTTAATATCTCAGATACTATCTATTTTAAAATAGGGTACCTGTCATTTAGGTCATACGTACAAATGTAAAAAAATAAAAATTAAATTAAATAATATAAGTTACAACAAGTTTTCAGCAAATTTACTAAAACATCCTTCTTGTTAAAGACGAATCTAAAATAATACAAAAGTATTAAATAAGATGACAATTATTTTAAACTAAAAGAATGATAAATATTTTAAAAATGAATAAAATATAAAATTTATATCATTATTGATTATTGATAACAAAAAAAGATTAATACAAACTTTGATCCTTTAAATTTATCCTCATTTTAATTTTAGTCCCTCAAAATCCTTACAACTCAATAAAAATTCAGCATATTTTGCCCCTGAAAGATTTAAACCTATGATTTAAAAGTTGATAGATTAAAACTAAAATGAGAATAAATTTAAAACTAAAAAGATTCAAAATTATATTAACCAAAAAGATATAATGATTCAATATCTTATTCTCATTCCAGTGTAGGCCAAATTCCCAAGAAGAAGAAGAGGGAAAAAATCTTAGACCGGTCTTCAATTTCTTTAGATAATTTTTTATAGTATAAAACTGGTCGCTTTTGGAAAACAATTAAGAAGTTTCTTTTATCGATCGAACCCTCGATCCTATTTCGCTTGTCTTAGTGAGAGAAAGGCCTCTCCGTCTCTCCGTCTCTCTCTCTCTTCTCTCAAAACCCTATTGCGTGATTTGTAATCGACCTTGATCATGGCCAACAGTAATCTCCCTCGAAGAATTATCAAGGTTCGTATCGATTTTGCTCGTTAAGATCGTATTTACATTACTCTGATCCGATTGTTTAATTGATGGGTGAGAGAAAGGAATTGAAAAGTAATTCGTAACCTTGTTGCGGTTTCGTGTTCCGTTGATTTGTGAATTTCATAAGGCTGAATAACCTGATTGAAAGAAGAACTGTGTTGTTAATTTAAGGTGAATTTCTGCACAGTTTAGTTTTATGTCAATATATGGCTTCAATTTACTGATAGTGAGAGAAAGGAAAGGTGTATGCTTAATCGGGTATTCTGTTTTCTCTTTTGGTTTTGATCTTCTCCGGTGGGCTGAGTTTTTCTTTGAGATTGTTCTTTTTGAATTCTACGGTCATTACTTTTTTGTTGATTTCAACAGGAAACTCAGCGTCTTCTCAGCGAGCCAGGTAATTGCCTATTCTTAGTTCTCAACTGGCGAAATATGCATATACCTTGCTGAAGTTCTGTAGAATCTGGCTCTAATTTTAAAGGGCCTTTTTGTAGAATATACCTATTTGTAGAATATACCTAGTGATATGATTTTCACCTCGGCTAATATTTGTAAAATCAATACTTATCTTGGTGACTTTGCACAATATATGATGCAAGGGCTGCCTATCCTTCTTTCTTTTATTCCTGTTGCCAAGTTTGTGTGTTGGATATGGTTTCAATTTTTTATTTTGTGGCTTCCTTGTACAGCGCCGGGAATCAGTGCTTCACCTTCTGAAGACAATATGCGATATTTCAACGTGATGATCCTTGGTCCAACACAGTCACCTTATGAAGGTAGTAAGATATTCCTAAATTCATGTACTATGCTGCTAGGCAATAATTTTCGATGTACTAGAAATATTGAATGCATTTCTATATAATCTGGGTCTTTTAGGTGTTACATTGATCTCCGCAAGAATTTATGTTATATAATCAAATCTAAATGAGGAATGATCCTGGCAGAACCCCGCCTTACTTGCTTTTTTTGCTGTGAAATTTCCATTTTATTACTCTGTTTATGGCTTAGTTGCATGTGCAGTTGCGGGTGGTGTTGAGCATGTGATTGATTGGTGAGGTGGAGTATTGGAATTTCAAATTGTATTTGATAACCACCATTGACCTTAGGATGTCTTCTTGTAAGAGCTGCCTCATCTCAGCAACTTGTATGCGAGAGTTCCACATCTTAGACATGTTTTGTTTTAGTATATAGGTCAACTTTAGCATCTTGTTGCAACATTGTTGCGTGTGATTGTCAGAAATCTGATTTGCTTTTGTTATTTTGTTTACATTTCTTAATTCTTAAATGATCACTTTTGCTAGGTGGCATTCCCATGCATTATAATAGTTATATATGGTTTGTCACAAGATGCATACTAGGCTTAATATTGTGCACTGTATATTTAAATCATACCCCTTAAATATCTTTAAAATTGATATTTAAGCTTTTCTACTGAAATATTTTCTAATGATGAAAATAAGTTTAAGGCCATTCATGTGTCCAAGCATTGTTCCTGGTTTTATTTAGCAAGCTATTTCACTTCATCCGATTTTTTTTTGTTTTTTGATGTGCTGCTCGCTTTAAGTTTTAACTTCTTTAACTGCATTATTTTTGTTCCACAAGTTGCTGTCTTTGGAGGTTGAAGATTACAATTTTTTTTTTTTGGCTGCAAAGTATTACAATATCAATAATTGAGATTGAGTTGAAAGTAAGGAGGGGAAAGTATTAAGTTAAGAAATCAGTTTGAATCAATTGTTGGCTTTACTACTCTCTTGTCAGCATGAGATATGTGTTCTGATATTTTACTCTCTTCGTTCTTTTTGTTGAAAGCATTCTAATTTTCCTAACTACTATTTGTCTTCATTATTTGCTTTCTTTCTGTGATTTGATTGTCATAAACCTTAGAGCAGTTGATTTGATGGGGTATGATCCCAGGATTATATCTGCTTATTGGCCGCATCATTATGAGATTTTTCGTATAAGATTTTTAAGTTCTGAGGTGCTACTGAGAAAAGGGGAAGCCTGTAAAATATGGGTTCATCTGTTGAGGGAGGA